CTAAAGAAGACTTATAATTAGTTTTATTCCTGTTTAAATGCACATTAGTGCCTGCTGAGCAATGTGTTTTAAAAGCACTTATAAATTTTGATTTTATTACTGCATGTTCATTCAAATCAAAAGTTGGCTTCCAAAAAACATTTAAGTGCTCTAATTAATGATCTAACCATATCAATCAGCAGGTGCTACTGTGCTACTTAACATGCCTACAGAATGATCAAAAGATTTGTTTGAAAATGTGATAAGAAAATGGATTTCACAATAAAAACCAAAAGTCATATTATTTCTCAACAGGATTCAGGAAAGCATAAAATGTTATACATACCTTCATTGTAAGTTGTATAATGTATTCGTACTGCTTTAGATGATTCCATCACTGTTTCCCTTGCTGAACATATACTGAAAATATAGTTACTGGACATATACTGAACATATACTTGTGGCTCTTGGCTGCAATGTTTCATCTGGCTGCTGATCCGTCTGGGTTTCCACAGCGCTATAAGTGCACAATAAAGTTTTGTAATGACGAAATATAACAATATTAACATAATTGAAATATCCAGGGATATCTGTTATGTACTTACCACAATTAAATCTGTCTTGATGTTTCGTATACAAGCTCGATCAGCAGAGTATTCGCGAACCCTCGTCACTTTTGATTCCAGCTTCAGTTTTGAAATGATTCCACCGACCAATACTACAATTTCGATGCATACCTTTTCGCGAAATATTCTTTTCGATTTTCTGGTTGGTTCTGGCGACCAGAAATGCATTAGAAGGATTTGCCTTTGAAACTCTCAAGTAGATGGTCGCGAGTCGGCCATTGTCAACTTTGCAGTAGCGTGTTGAAATTGATATATATTTTTTTTAAAAAAGATTGATTGATTTTAATAATTACCACATTGTAAATTAATAAAAATTTAAAAAACGTGATATTACATAGATAGTATTAAAATTTTTAAATTTGCAAAAAGTTCAATTTAAAACTACTATAATATAAACTATATTAATGATATGTACTATAAAATATTTTATTATGTCTATGGTCGGTCCCAGTTTCTAACACACTTTGGGACAAAACTGTTCTTATATCGTTCAGTTTTGCACTTATACATAGGATAAGTGCGTTTATTTCTTAGACTGAGTTTGTGAGATATAGCACTGGGAAGTAGCGTTCTCAACTTATCGTCTGAGTGTTGATGGATATTCTTATAGAATGACAAGCACTGATTCTCTCTTCGCTCGTAAAGTGTAAGAAGGCCAGTGTTTCTTAGTGAGGTAGTATAGGAGGACTGGGGGAAAGCGATTTTCAATGCACGTTTTTGTATACTCTCGATTTGATCAGCGAGGAATAGGCCTACTCTGGGGCGGTAAATCGCCTTAAATCGCCCTAAATCGTCTAAAATCGAACTAAATCGCGGGTTAAAATTGTCGAATTTCTCCTAAATCGCCTAAAATCGCTTAAAATCGCCAACATGCATTCTGCTTGATACATTCAGTCCATGTACTCAAGTTTATCAATTGCTACTATTTTACGGGCAAATCATGTAATCCAGGTGCTTTGCAATGAAAGTAATGCAACATGAATTAGCAATCAAATAAGTGGATTAGGCTGACAATATTTGGTCACTCAATAGGCACCGGTCATTGACAAAACCAGAGCCTTTTCTGCTTTATGCAGACTTTACAATAATTAGGTAATTCTGGGATCTGAAAGACCCATAGATCCGATACACTGCAAGCAACAAAATTGAGCTAGTTACCAGAATGAGCTAATTTCATTATTGGTGTAAATGGAGGCTGGGCTACAATTTATATGGACTATGGAGGCTGGGCTACAAATTAATCTATAATCTAGCTATATTGCTGTTAAGCCTGGTTCACATGTCTGCGATATGCTTGCGACGTCATTGTTTACAGCTGTTGATGCATTCTTTTGTGAATTATTTGGTTAAACTGCTAAGACAATATGCCGCCGACACATCGCAGACATATGTGAACCAGGCTTTAATTAGAACAACAGTAGGAAACTACGAAAGTCAATGAGTACGAGTGTTGATTTATATAATAAAGTCATCGTGTAATTTGTGCACTGTTGCATGTAAGATTGAGTACTGCATTGTATACAATGGTTGTACTTCGACATGTGCATGGTTATACTCTAGCTCCTAGTTATAATTATAGTCGCTAATTGACTCGCTATCAAACGAATAATATACGTGAGGTTATGAGCGATTTGCAACTCTCGTCTATTAAATTTTCCCGACCTGTATATACAATAAACAGTAAAACAATGATTACATCTTACATACCATACAATAGATCTTTTGGTGTTGTTTGTTTGCAGAACCTAAAACCACGATTAGTGCGCCATTTGTTTAACAATTAACGCTGTACTATTTTGGTTTTAATTTTAAAATAATTTAGAATTCCTACCATTTATATACGATATACTTCATGTAATTTAAACATTACGGCATTACGCCGACAGTTTCCGAATGCGTGACGATACTGTTTCTGGATATGGCACTGGGATATCATACGATGTAGATATCAAAAAAATTATAAATATGTTTGTAGCATGAAGAAAGCACGAGATTGAAACAGTTTAAATAAAATGCAAGCTAAATAAAGAAGTTTTGACATGATACAAAACAAGACAATCAAGGGTGTCAAGGTAAATTATGGGATTATAGCCTATTCAGTTATACTGTACAAATACACTTATTTGTGTGTTTCTACCCCCTACCCCTTGTGATTTTTTTGGAAATCAAATATTTATTATATTTTGCAATTTTAACTCGATATGTGTAGTGCATGCCCCTTAAGTAGAGTATATTAACTGTTTACAATATTTGTGGTGTATATAAATGTAGCTATGCAGGGTGTTAGGCTGTTAGCCAGAAAAAAAATTTTGTCCGTTAAACGTAAATTGGGAAAGTTTTAACTGGACTTAGCTGAATATTTTCCCCAAAATTCTTGGCGAGGGGGGGGAGCGGTGGGGGGTCACCAAAAAATTTTTTCAGGAGATATCAAAGAAATATTCCGTAATTTCCGCCAAATCCGAAAAATTTTTCACAGAATATTGAAATTTAAAAATTTCCCCAATTTCGACCAATTTCGCATTGATTTTCGCCCGACCATTAAAATTTTGGGGGACACGTGCTAATTTTCCAGTAGACCCAGTTGGGAAAGCCCTCAATTGGGAAGAGTCCGTCAAACGGACAGCATATGGGCTAGCTAACACCCTGCTATGACCCCCAAGATGAACCCCAATGGCTTTTAAATAGAGAGAATGGGTGAAAAGTTCATGAATATTGAGCTTTATATGTGAATCAGGTTAAATACAACAGTTAACCTAGCTTTATATAAAATGTACATACATGTTCACTCCCCACATTGGGACTTTTCAGTGATCGATTACATCAAGTTCTATGATTACTTATGTTAGCCTAGACTATTTATCTTTACAACAATGAGGATATGATATTACTTTCCTAACTGTGTTTATCCTAACCCACCCTGCCAATTTTGCCCTGTGGGAGGAAACCGGAGCAAAATATAGAATTCAATTCCTTTGAAAACACCTAAATTGCAATCCCTAAAATTAAAATTTTTTTCTTAAATCGCCTAAAATCGCACTAAATCGCAGTGCTTGAAAGTCCCAGTTTTTGCTTAAATCGCCTAAAATCGCCCAAAATCGCATTATATCGCAGCGATTTAAGGCGATTTACCGCCCCAGAGTAAGCCTAGGAATTGAGGGAGAGAGAAATGCCATACAGGTGAGGCGTATTCCAAAACTGGACGAATAAATGCACAAAAGACCGTTATTAAATCATTGGCTGGGGCACCAGATCATTTGAGGATCCTTAGAGCATGAAGACGTTTACTTGCTTTGGTGCAAATGTAATCAATGTGCGCATTCCAGGTAAGATCCGATGATATTATCACTCCCAGAACTTTGAAGGTCTGGACGATTTCTATGTTTAAACCAGATGACGAGAGGGCATCGAACACCATAGGGACTCTAAGAAAGGATATACGCAGTTCTTTGGTTTTAGATACATTAAGCCGCATGTTGTTGTGATTGGTCCAGTCATTTATAGTGTTTATATTAGCTTGAAGCGATGAAGGAGGGGACGATCTTGAAACGATTTCGTATGTGGAGCAGTCATCGACATATTTGTACATTGGAGTGTTGGTTTGCAAGTCATTTATCATCACAAGGAAGAAGAGGGGTCCAAGTTTTGTACCTTGTGGAACCCCTGCATTTATTTGTCGCCATGTTGATTTATTCTGGCCAAGCTTGACACGTAAATATCGGTCATGCAGGAACTCAGCGCACCAATTCAACAAGATAGGAGGGATGTTGAGTTGTTGTAATTTATGAAGTAAAATATTGTGATCGGTGCGATCAAAGGCTTTCGAAAAGTCAATCATACAACATCTGATAGTTGAACCAGGGTTTTCTAATTCGGCTAGCCAGTTATGGGTCATGTGGATAAGAACGTGTGTGCTGGAGCAATTTTTCATATTTCCGAACTGGAGCGGGTCGATTGATGGTTTAATATAACCAAAAAGCCACCGAAAAACAAAGCTTTCCAATAATTTACTCAGCACCGGTGTGAGAGAAATAGGTCTTAGGTCGCTATCAACTGATTTGGGATTAGATATTGTTGGCGCTGGGATAACGTCTGCTGATTTCCAGAGTGTCGGGATGCAACCTTGTGCAATGCTGGCATTGAAGATGGAACATATTGGACCAGCAAGCAACGGTGCAGCTGATTTCAGTACCCAGTTGGGGATATCGTCGGGGCCAATTGCTTTCTGAAGACTGATCTTTTCCAATTCGATTTCAACTTGTTGGGTTGATATTATGTACTCATCAGGAACAGATGTAATGTGAAGCTTATTGAAGCGGAGTGGGGCAAATTCGTTTGAAACAGCACAGAAAGATTCGGCAATTAGTTCAGCAAGCTCAGGACCTCTTTTGAACTCACCATCATGGAAGATGCTCGAAAAAGGTTCCGATTTAGATAGATCAGAAATAGACTTGATGTTATCGTACCATTTTTTTGGGTTAGATTCACTGGTATTAAGGATTTTCTTATCGTAGTAGGACTGACGAGCAGATTTACATAGTTTTCTAACTTTGTTACGATAAACGTTATACATGATAGTGTTGCTGGTTAACCAAGCTTTCTGCCTTTTAGAAATGAATTTTTTTTTATTATTTGAAGTTTATTATATGCATTTCCATTTGTAACAAGAGCTTACTTATCCAATGACTGGGGGGAATTCATATTATTTTGTATAATTTAATTTTGCCAATCCAACACCACAAAATACTTTCACGTTTAGTTTCACCGAGCAAGATAAACAAGCGGCTTCATACACATTAATAGTTTCTATTTGATTTTGAAACAATTGCACAACGGAATAACTAATATTCGTAAGCGAGTTAATTAAAAACAATTAGAATTTTGGCACTCTGTGCGTCAGCCATCTTCTATGAAATGCTAACAGTTAGTATTACGTAATATTTAATCTATGGCAATGTTTACAAAATGTGTACACATTTGAGACATGCGCAGAATGGACTGTAACCCAGCTTTAAATGAAAAAACAGCATCTATTAATTTCAGTTTTTCTTTATTGATGATACTTTTATTATATTATATTCAAATTTTTAAATAAAAAAGAAAGCAAAGTTGTTTTATATAGGTTTCAAATAGATCCTAGCTATTTAACCATCGACAAGCAATACTTGTAATTGGGTCATGCTAATAAAGTTATTATAATTAATATTATTATTATTACCAAGAATTAGAACACTTCAAATAAGCAGTTTATTTTTTAAAATTACTTACTTACTCTTAAGATATTAAAATACACCTATCTGGTGCAAAGTAGAAACTATCTCATAACACTAAGGCCAAAAAAAAAATATGTGGGTTTCCGGTTTCTTCTTATAAAAACTTAGGTAGGGTAGGTCGGTTTTAACTTTTTTTTTTGAACTTTTTTTTTAATTTTCCGAATAAGCGGACGCCATTTTGTTTAGTCAGTGCTTCCACATCCAAAGATAAATTTCCGTAATATTGCCTCAAATTTCAATTTTCCACAAACGTTTTCCTCTAAGTGGAAACACTTACAAGCATGATCCAATAAAAAAGTTTAGGGTCGGGATTTCGACGTCGAAAAGCTAGGTAGGGTCGGGAAACCGGAAACCCACATATTTTTTTTTGGCCTTATCTGATTTTGGTGTCAGTGAAACGAAAGTGTGCATCAATAAATAGTAAAAATATTCAGTAAAACAGATAACAGAACCCACTCTGTGCTGATAATAGAACCCACTAAAACTTTTAAATTAATTTAAATCATTTTATCGAATTTAACTGGCCTGAAACAAGTTTATATATAGTCCCTCATTTCCAACAAAATATCCTGTGGGCGGGGAGGTAACCGTAGTTTCCAGAGTGCCAGAACTCCTATTAATGTACATAGTTGAATAATGACTAAAATATGAATCCACCTTTTATTGCGTCGTAAATGCTTTAATTATTGGAATGTAAGGAGGATATAATAAAACAGCTAGAATTTGAAAAATGGAATTAAAAGCTTGTCTCAAAAAACAAAAATACAGTTTAATTTGCCTGGATTGTTCACATGATTGAAGTCAGTGCCTTCAGTCAATCGCGTTGCCATATATGGGCTCCCAGAAGGCTTAGCTGGCAAATTTCGAGCGCGTCGTTTGGAAATTTTGTACCGCTGGAGGATAAGCCCAATTAGTTTTCTTAAAATATTGAAGAAAATAGGAAGAAATACTCCGATTTTTGTTGCATGCCATATATGGCATGCAACTTTCATATAGCTATATAGCTTCATATAGCATTTTTTTAGCGGCCATACCTGATTATTATTAGTAATTTGTGATTACTTATTCGGAATTTTGTGAGCATCCGTCCTTAGGGTGGATCTTTTATGAAAGTAAAATAATCTTCTTGATTATATTGCTTTTTAAATTTAGAATAGAATGATAGCTTTCTGGAATTGTCTATCTGTTGTTGCCAAAACGAAATATAGTTGTTTTTCATGTTATCTATTATATAATTTATTTTATTGTCTTTGAGGAATGTCCCTTGTTCTAAAGGTTCACCGAAGTGTAGGGAAATGGCTTTTCAGTCATGATATGCACAATATTTGAGTAAAAAAATCTTTCTCGTTTATATAAAGTTATTTTGAAATGTAGAACAAGCGTTTTACAATGGATGAATCTGGTAATTGGTATATGTTGTTGATATAGTTAAGTGTCCTCTTAAATGTAAGAATTATTAGTGGTAACCTTCCTAATTCTTCTCTACTGGTAATGTTGCTAGCTTTTCTGTTCACTCCCACGGATAGTTTACAAAACTTTTAATGTTTTTTTTTTCAATTTCTATTGTATCCCATTTTGTAAAATCGTTGCTAGCGTATGCCCCCATGAGTGAGATGTTGGGTGAAATACACATTCTCAAGTTCATTAATAATTCGTGAGCAATTCAGCCAAAGATAATCACTTATTTGATCACAATATGCCATTTGGAATTTGGATAACTCGATGAAACTTGATGAAAATCACTACAGTTTTCACCAAATATCTTAATTACGCATGCAAAATTACTTGAATAGAATTCCTAATTACGTTATGCTTGGTTAAGAATTCTATTCAAATCAGTAAACGAAAACATTTGTTACGTCTCGATTCATTTGAGAAGCCATATAAACAACTCGAGCTCGTGTCTCACCGGGATATCCAAACACTGGATATCCCGGTGAGATATATCCAGGTGTTTGGATATCCCGGTGAAACACTCGCTCTCGTTTCATATATTACATCAAAGATGTTACATGCAAGTTGTGGTCGTAAGCAGTGAAAATCAATGTTTTTCCGTATTTTGTATAAAGCATGCTTTGCCTTATCACTAAGTTGTTGATTGGCAACTGTAAACGTTGTATTAGGTGTTAATTTGAGACCAAGGTAAGCATATTCATTTGTGATAGAGACTGGATTGTTTCCTATGAAAAAATTAAGTTTTACTTTGGATTTATATGTTTTTGTAAATGATTAATGTTAACCTCAATCATCTATTTTTTGCTCCATGTAGGAAGTACGCTCAGACTGTTTTGGAGAACGGATTTTGACTTGGAGAGTATACCGCGGTCGTCTCCATAGAGTGCTTACTCTATTTGCTTATCGTTGTACCATTTGGTAATACAAATGGATCAAAATCTGTTTCTTCAAGTAGTTTTGGAAGTTCATTCACATAGATATTAAAAAAGACTGAGACTTAAAACAGTTGTGTTTTACCGAACGCCCTCTAGCTGTGACAAGAAAAGACAGACGTTCTGTACGATCTGATATTTTTACTGCACATCGAGTATTCGAGTAGCTACATGCAGTTCTTTATCAGGTCATAAAATCGTCCTCCTAATTTATTGTCTAATAATTTATAGCAACTTCCATCGTGTCAAACTGAATCAAAGGCCTCTTTAAAATCAACAAAACAGGCATATATTTTCTTATTATTTTGTTGTTTAACTCATGTAGTGTTTTCAACGTTAGTAAATGTGGTCAGCTACATGTTCTATTGCCAAGTAAAAAGCCTATTCGGAATGGATGTAATATATTTTCTAGTTTTGTGAAAGTCATTAATCTATCATTGAGGATTGAACAGAAATTGGTAAGAATGACAGTTCTACTTAAATCTTAATGTGCGCCTCTTACACGTTTGAAGAAAACAGATATTCTTATGCCAAGAATTTAGACGGAAACTTTGCTTGGAAACTAAAGGCATTGAGATATAATCTATATCTTATCGGCACTGCGATTTGCAGCGCCAACTAAAGGCATTGACATATGATCTATAAGTTATTGGCAGTGCAATTGAAGCGCAAACTAAAGTCACTGACATATGATCTGCAACTTGTTGGTACTGCAATTGCAGCGCCAACTCAAGGCATTACCATGCATTGATATATTATAAAATCTATAAGTTAATGGCACTGTAGTGCCAAGACTAGATGGAAGGAGATATGCTTTTGAACAACATTTATGGTAAAATTAAGACATCCTACAGTGTGATAGGGCAAAATCCCCATTTTATTCATTGACAGCAGTCTATGGTGATTCAGAGATTAAATTCACTACATCAGTACATGTCTTTCAATAACAATATGATACGCAGTATATAGAAACCATCCAGTTATCAAGTATTTGAAATTTCTGTCCTGAGCGTAGAATAAGAAATGAATAGAAGGGCAACTGAATGTCGGATCCTTTGAAGTCGGTGTCCTCGCGCATGTCGTGTCGTGCATGCCGGAAATACGACGGCGTATAACAAAGCTGTGACATTATTTTTTGTATAACAAAGCTGTGACATTATTTTTTGACCATGAAAGCATGGTACTGTAGGTTATAGAACTATATGTAATATTGCATGAAATTTAAAGCAAAAGAGTTTATAAAAAATTAAGATCTCCAGGAACAAAAGGAATATATTATGTGAAACCCATTCACATTCTACATTAAGAGCTGTTCATAAGAGTTGGGCTGGCCTGGTAAACTAGGTTAGCTTGCCTTCATACACTAGTGGAGGCAGGCTAGCCTGGCAAGCATTATGCAGAAATTGCAATATAATTTTGGATAACTTTCTACATTCTTAGATTTATAGGTGTCTGAATGGCAAAATAAAGCATGTATCCACATTTGAATACAAACTTGAAATGGGAGTACCTAAGCAGCCTGGTCCATTTTGTAATGCCAGCACATCTCATATGGAACAGCTCCATATATTTGGTGTCCACATCTTGCATAATGTAATACTAGGAGAGAAGTGAAAGAGTATTCAACATATTTTTGTAAAAAATTTTAATGTTTCTGCATTGCCATTCAGGCATACATATATTATATTACAAAGACAACACAATATGATCCAATCATTGACAAATTGGTCTTCAAGAGAGTAAAACTTGAGTACTTGTTGCCAAGGCTTGAGCACATCCAGAAGGCAGAAATTAAGGTTACTGGATTCCCCAGAACGTAAAAAAATTGATTTTTTTTTCTTTACATGTTCTTGTTGCTTTTGAGCATATCTGTCGTCTGGGAAAATATGTAAATCAGTAACTTTAAAATTAAACAGGTTACTTAGTAAAACGCAATTGAAGTCTATATGTTTGGCGGGAACTATGTTTGACAGAAAATCGACACCTTGTGCAATTCAATTAGTGTATATGTCATCTCGTATCCGTTATCACAACATGCGGTTGTAGACGCACATTTCTCTTGCACTGAAATCTTTGCTGAAAAAATGCCGCGAATAAAAGCTGATTCTGGCAAAAGCAATAAAACCCCTTTTTGCGGCCGTCGGAAGAAACTCAAACCCAAGACCAACAATTTGTTCACAGAGGAGAGAAAGAAATCACTGGCAGAAAGTGACCTTAAAAGTCAAAACCATTCTGTAGAGATGAATCAATGCCCATAAAGGCCATAATTTAGAACAGTTTGCCTAATATTTACTAGCATAATAATAGAATATAATATGTAAGTATATTTACATGAGTATGTTTATCATAATATAACAATGCCTTTTAAAACATATATATTTTAAATTAAACCTAATTATTATAGTCATATTAGACTAACACTATAATAGTCTACACACAACTTCGGGATCTTCAAAGCTTCACAAATTACGTCCAGCTCAATATTGTAAGCATCTTAGGAGCAGAATAAAAACATTGCCATATTTACTAATTTAGCCACAAGTGCATGACTAACCGGAAAACTGTAAAAGCTTTATTAGAATTAGCCCTTTCGTTCTCTGCGCGGCTTTTATAGTGACCTTTGGCTTTGCGTACAGAATATCAAACTCGCTTCTCTTTCTCTCCTTTTACATCACCGCGATATCGGTCAGGAAATTTAGTACTTCGACAGGATATCCATAAGCCGCATCCTTGGGACCGATTCCCTGTTTCTATAAATGAATGAAAATTTAATGACATTTTACAATAAAGCCTTTTATTTCCAAAAACAATACGATGCGCGGCGTACTAAAAACGCAAATTGTGCAAAAATCCAGCGAACCAGGTGCAATTATGTATATAACTCAGTGATTGTAAAGTTACGATCAGCGCGTGTGCCTATCCACAATAAAAAAATACCGTACAATTCTAGGAGGTTTACCACGCTTCTTTAGCCAATCTTCAACATCATGAGCCTCAATATTCTTGATAAAGTTTGCTCCATCGTAACTGAAGAGAGAGAACAAATGCATGGCTTTCTATAACGTCAACTAGCAAAATATCGTTGGATCAAAATGCGATAAACTAAGTTTCCTTACCCTTTAAGACTTTATCTTTCATCGTTGTCATTAGTTTTTCTTTGTGGTCCATGATTTGCCCGATTGTTTGAAATCAACTAATCCATGCATGTACGCGGATGATACTCAAATCTTTTCATCTTCCTACGATGCAAATGAACTTGTTGTAAATTTAAATTCAGATCTTGCCCACGTCTGTAACTGGCTTAAAGAAAATAGGCTGCAGATGCATCCATCAAAATGTAAAATGATGTTTATTGGCTCCCCGTATAATCTTAACAATATAATGTTTGAGGAACCCGTTGTGGCTAATGCAAAACCCATATCACGAATTGCTACACAAATGTGCCTAGGAGTAAAACTAGATGAAACCCTTAATTGGGATAGTCACATTGAAATGATATGCAAGAAGGCGAGCGCTGCTATTGGCGCTATGAAACGTATAAAGCCCTTTGTTCCAATGCATACCTTAGAATCGATTTATAAAAGTCTTGTGCAGCCCTACTTTGATTATTGTTTCCCCCTTTGGGACACTTGTGGTAAGTTGCTAAGAGACAAGTTGCAAAGATTTCAGTCTCGTGCAGCAAGAGTCCTAACGGGTGCTAATTATGATACTCGCTCAGCTGATCTTCTCAACATGCTTTCTTGGGATACACTTGAAAATAGGCGGTCTGGTGCCAAGTCAGTATTAATGTATAAAATACTTAACGACCACACTGCGCCAGGTCTCCGGGGGTCATTCGTGAGAAGAGAAATAGATCAAACTAATTATCATCTTCGAAACACAGCAACTGATCTAACAATTCCTAAACCGAAACGAGAATTTCTTAAAAAAAGTTTTAAATATAGCGGCGCTATGCTCTGGAATCAACTCCCAAACGAAGCAAAATTGGCCGAGTCGCCTCATTCGTTTAAATCAATTGTTGGACAGCGACATGCTTCCTAATTATTTGTATATAGTAACGTGTACAGTATGTGTGTACTAATATTTAGTTTAAATTTTCCTTTTAATGATTTTTAAGATCTAAACACGCCCCCCATGGAAACCAGCCTAGAGTTGATGGGGCTAGCGTGTTCTTCTTTCTGTTAATATTAAATAAAGTATTACCTACCTACCTACGTACCTACCTACCTACCTACATCGCCATCAGCTGAACTCTATCGTTCTGCATTTTTGTCGCTTTTGAGATTCTGCGCTTTTTTGCGGCGCGTTGGTTTGTCTTCCTTTTCGTTTAGGCATGATTTGATTATATATTGTGGTCTTGCCGCAAACGTTATCTGTCATCGGATTAACTTTATAATGACAGTACGTCACAGTAGGCGCAGTACCTGATTACACTGAAAGAAAACCCGCGAAATTTTCAAAGCGCTTTTTGAGGCACTTGAATTTTGAGTCGAATATACGCACTAAATAAAGTTTGTTAAGCGTGCGTTTTAACCGATTTTTGTCAAATTTCCACACAGCATAGGTACATATTTCAGCTATAAATCGGTGTGCGCGCGAGTTTTTTATTCAAATAGTAAGCAAGTTACAAGTTTTTTGTTGTCAATTAGTTGCAATATAGCATATGTCTGGAATGAATATGCCGTAACTCATGAACCCCTATAGCAACGACAAAACGCGAACACCGTTTTTTAGAACAACCTTTGAGAAGAGTAAAATTGATATTTTTATAGGATTTGAGTAAAACCGGCGTCTAACTAACTTCACGGCGCAGAAGTACCGCGATTTTAGACTTCGGCAAATATCTGAATAAGTATTTATTCTTTCGTACATATGATAAGAACATCTTATACTACATTTACGTAACTACATTTGGTGAAAATTTGATGGAATTTGGATTAAAATTGATCGAGTTACAGCGGATCTCCCGAAAGACATGTCTAGGGTATCCTGTAACCTTAAACTAAATGAAACAAAAATTATGACATGGATAATACTGTGTTATAGAAGGGCCACATTGCCAGCTTGACCTAGTCATGCTAGAGGCCTAAATTGCCCAGCATGGAAAGAAAAGGCTGTCCAGTTTTGTGCACAAATCAGTGATTTGCGTGCACAACAGCTTATATTGCTGTCGAATCTTTTGGCACAAAAACGATACACAATTCCTAGAGCCTAGACTCACTGCCGTCCGGTGCAGAGGAATTGTACATTCCATACACTCAGGCAAATTGATGTGTTGCCTGTGTCAGTGATTGTCAGGCATGGATGAAGTGTAAACATGGTCATAACTTGATGTTTGTGGTGTTACTCTGCGTGTGCATCCACACCGAGACAAACTAAAAAGTTTGCCTGCCTATGGTGGGAATCGAACCTGTGACCTTAATGGGATACCAGACCAATGCTCAACCAACTCAACTACTAGGTTAAGTCAGTTCGAGTTGGTGATATTTTGGAACTGAGTGTGGTTCCTTCGATATCAATGTATTCTAAGACATGATACTTTTTGTGTGTGTTAGTGTTATATACGGGACTAGCTAACAGTCGTGGGTCGTGGGTAGAATGTCGTGAGTCGTGGGTAAAAAGTCGTGGGTCGTGGGTAAAAAGGCGTGGGTCGTGAGTAAAAAGGCGTGGGTCGTGGGTAAAAAGGCGTGGGTCGTGGGTAAAAAGGCGTGGGCCGTGGGCAAAAAGGCGTGGGTCGTGGGTAAAAAGGCGTGGGTCCCGAATACAAAGTCGTGAGTTCCAAGCAAAGTATTTCCATACATTTACCTTTCCACCTTTCTTTGGAATGCGTGTTTTTTTTCTTCTGAGGCCTTCCCAAACTATGCCCAAATATGCATAGTCTTAGAGCGCGTTAAGGCTGGGGTTTTGATATCGGCAGATCGGTTTAAAAATATTATAACCAAGTGTGGATAAACAGTTCAACTTCACGCCCCATATAGCTCAAATATTTGGACGTTATAATCTTATAGACCGTATAAATTAGTTACTGCAATTCTTCAATAAGAATATGGCTCAAGGCCACATGTACGAAAGCTGAGTAGCACTACCACTCGATATTATAGTCAAATTTTTATAACCGGCAATGGCATCATATGTTTTCATAGCTATATATGGAACTGCGGAGTATAGCTAACCATTTAATTAATGAAATAATATGACATTTGACTTATATATGGTCTTCATGTATATACTATACAAAGAATTCGAAGATCGCCGGTCTGCAAAATAGTGATGCATCGATATCCATATCGGTAATTTTGTTGTTATTACCGACATCGTCGTAAACATTACAAGAAAATATAACTCTAGACCAACCAGTGTTGCTGTTATTTAAAACTGCTGAAGTCTATCCTAAACGATTTCTGAAATATCGCAAACTACAAACGGAACAAACCTTGCATGTAAACAATGCTACTCGGGCTGTTATTAAATAAGCGCTGTGAAATTTCCAAATTCCAACTTGCTATTGACTTCGCTGAAACTTGATGCTCAAGAAATATGTAGAAGTATACCTCTCTGTTATCAAACCTACGGTAAAATAATCCGACAAAAGCCTACTGAAAGATAAGTCAAAGCATGAATGTTACAAATACTGTATGTGTCACTATGTGACTGTATATTTGTAACTTATAATTATATGTTTGACATTAGAAAATACAAACTAAATTCACTACTCATTCAGGGCTTCACTAATTTGTTGATCGATGTTCTTACAGTAATAAGCGAGAAATTTCCACTTGGACAGTGTTAATTTAATGCAATGTCTGTTAATTTACTAGGGAAAAATAAAAGAAAGCATTTGAGAGATTTCACTTAAATACATACTTAGTCTTAGTATCTAACCATGATGTTGCAGTAGTGAATCTAGTGTCAGAATTTAGCTATTTATGACAGGCTTGACAGCACTATTTCCTATTGAAGAATTACAATATTTATCTGTCTATAAGATTATAACGTCCAAATATTTGAGCTATATGGGGCTTGAAGTTGAACTGTTTCATCCACACTTGGTTATAATATTTATAAACCGATCTGCCGATATCAAAAACCCGGCCTTAACGCGCTCTAAGCTATGCATATTTGGGCATAGTTTGGGAAAGCCTCAGAAGAAAAAAAACACGCCTTCCCAAGGGAGAAAGGTAAATATATGGAAATATTTTGCTTGGAACCCACGACTTTTTATTCGGGACCCACGACTTTTTGCCCACGGCCCACGCCTTTTTACCCACGACCCACGCCTTTTTACCCACGACCCACGCCTTTTTACCCAAGACCCACGCCTTTTTACCCACGACCCACGCCTTTTTACTCACGACCCAGGCCTTTTTACCCACGACCCACGCCTTTTTACCCACGACCCACGCCTTTTTACCCACGACATTCTACCCACGACCCACGACTGTTAGCTAGTCCCTTATATACTTAGGTGACCTCATAGCTCAGTTGGTAGAGCATTGGAGTGATAACCCAAAGGTCGTGGGTTCGATTCCCACCATGCCTGACCGTGGTCAGGCAAACTTTTCAGTTTGCCCAGTGTGGATGCATACTGAGAGTAACACCACAAACATCATATTCACCAGAGTACATAACAACAAAAAGTATGGTGACTCATGCAGTCTCTATATTTTAATTATAGCCTTGATAATTATAACATAAAAGAACAACAATTTATGACTATTCTGATGCTGTTTAATACCTGGTTGAATAAAAAACAATAGATGAAATGCTTCTATGATATGGGCATAGTTAGCAATGTTTCTGATTCACCTGCAGCACATTTGTATACTATACTATAGTCTATCAGTTTGTTTTATACAAAATTTCAAACTTCAAAAAACCACTATTTGACAGAAGACAACACTTGTTATTTGTGAAAGAAACACAAAAGGAATCTTTTAGTTGTGTGTTTGTAATAGTTGTGTATTTGTATAAATATACATGAAAATACATCCAGATCAGGTAAAATAACGTGAAAATATGTCCGATATGGAAACAGACACTATACAATACTCAACTGTGCTAAACACGGAAATTGGGATGAAACAATGCTTTTACTGTAAGCACATTGTTATGAAGATTTGAACTAACATAAGTATCTGATAAAATAGGAGTACCGTGCCAAATTACCCAAGAATATACCAAACATTTTTATTCAATATAAAAATATACATCTTTTAACAAGCAAGTAAAACGGTCAGTATTTGCTAATAGAACGTCTTTAGATTGCTGATTGCAATGCCTCACCTTATTTCTTTCATCTTCTGTCAAAAACTTTCACGATCATTGAAAAACTTGAACGAAAAAGGCAAATTTATAGCCCAAACACAACTCTTCTCCATATAATCTATAGTACGCCAGCAGCCAGTTTACTCACAGGCGGCCCAATCTCACAAGGGTCAGTATAGACTTATAGTATAAATGTATATTATATTATGTATATTATAGTAAAAATATGTCGTAAAATATAAATTTTTAAATGAAATTGACTTGCCTATTTGATAGTGTGCGTTCTCCTTTTATTCCTCCTTTGTTGGACTAATATTTTTGAGTACTAATAGTTTAAGACTTTGTACTCGATGTTACTAGTATACATGAAACATGATAAAGGCTAACGATTTCCGATCGTCGATACGACGGCACGGCACTTCGAATCGAAAATTTTCACACTCAAATCGCTTTATTCTCCAAAAAAATTCGCCAACATGTACAACAAATACCGTTCTTCGAAAATACGGAGGTACTTCGGCGAGATGTACAAGTTTTCGACCATATTTTAACAATGGAAATCAAAACCCATTTTATATTGAACTTGCCCAGACCGAAAATTACTACGGCGAACGTCTGCGCAACCAGGCCTCCTTTACCGTTGGATTTACAGGGGGGAGGATGCGACTAATATATTCACGATAATATTTCGAATTAAAGTATCATATTCTATACCATACTTTCCAACAAAGAGCCGCTGTATATTACTTCTTCCTTAAATTTCTTCAATCTCCGTCGTTTAATTTTCTTTTCTTCAACAACATCTCGAGTTTTATACAGTATCCGATCGAAGGAGTTTTTATTTTGAATATCAAATTTCAAATAATGTAAACAGTCGCTACGCGGCCGCGATTGGCTGGCTGTTACCGGAAATATCTGCCCCCCCTGTAAATCCAACGGTAAAGGAGGCCTGGTTGCGCAGACGTTCGCCGTAGTAATTTTCGGTCTGGGCAAGTTCAATATAAAATAGCTTTTGATTTCCATTGTTAAAATATGGTCGAAAACTTGTACATCTCGCCGAAGTACCTCCGTACTTTCGAAGAACGGCATTTGTTGTACATGCTGGCGAATTTGTTTGGAGAATAAAGCGATTTGAGCGTGAAAATTTTCGATTCGAAGTGCCGTGCCGTCGTATCGACGATCGAGAATCGTTAGCCTTTATCATGTTTCCGTATACTAGTAACATCGAGTACAAAGTTTTGGAAAATATTAGTCCAACAAAGGAGGAATAAAAGGAGAACACACACTATCAAATAGGCAAGTCAATTTCATTTTAAAATTTATATTTTACGACATATTTTTACTATAATATACATTAATATAATATACATTCATACTATATAAAGTCTATACTGACCCTTGCGAGATTGGGCCGCCTGTGGTTTACTGGCCAGAGTAATGGCGGACCTGACGCATGCGCACAAAAAAACGAGGACGCGTTGTACACGCGAGTTGCCCTTCTATTCATTTCTTATTCTATGGTCCTGAGACTGAGGCCCAGTGTGATTTAAACAAATTCTGCGATTAGTTTAAAGCTTTCCCAAATGTTCAAATCAGTTGAAATTGCACAATAGTTATTTCGGTCTCTGCCTCTGGCCAGTCTGGGCAAAACTTTGAGTCCTGTAATCCAAAAGCGGCAGGATAAAGACAGTCTTTAGATAGTTATTCGTCTCCATGGTGCTTTTTATTCCATCTTCGATTTTTTTTCAAAACTTTCACATTTCCAATAACTGGTGACTTTTCCCCGAGCCGACGGCACGAAGCGCCGTGCGAGGGTACTATTCCCCCCGGCTATTTACACCCGGGGAAACGAAAGCATTAGGGAAGTCTAAAGTTCATCAATATCGCGGGCGTGACCAACGATCGATGGGTGGTCATCCTCGCTAATCTAAAAAATATGGCTGATTGCTTGTAGGAGTGGGATAAGCAAGATTTCAATATTAAAAGACATATATTTGGAAAATCGTTTGATATACAACAAGCTTGAAGAAATGAGAAGAATTGATTTACTATGGAAATCGTGAAATAAACGGCAACTTTTCTTTGAATA